CAAGACGCGTCATACAGGAGCCGATGAAGACTTCATCAATGTTGTTGGTGCCGATCTGATCGGGGAAGGGGAAGTCGATTGCTATGTCCACCACACTCTACTCATTTCCTACGCTATCTTTGGGTGGTAAACATCCATTGGCCAGCTAAATTTTGATGTGAAGATTGGTAATCTTTGAACCAACCCTAAATAAACCCAAAACCAACCTTAAACCAATCCTAATTATAAACCTTAGGCCAACCTTAAATAAAACCCTGAACGAACCCTAAACCAAGCAAACCTCAGTCGCAAACCTTCAACCCTAAACCAACTACCAACCCTAGATTTTCAGATTGCGAATCGCTGCCTCGGACAGCTTCTTTGCGTCATCAGGGTCGTTGGGGCAGCACAGAATTGGCTCCTGCCACTAGAGCTGTCTGCCTGTCTGCAGTTTTCGTTAGGAATGGCATCGTGCTGTATCAGAAATGTGATACCTTAGTAGAATTCGATAGCTCTAATCACAAAATGAACAGATCCAATGCTTGGCTCTTTGTTTTTTGGGGAAGGGATTTAACCACCCTTCCGTTCGAGTGTCATAAATTAATATTAGGCTCTATATCCACATGTGTCCCCATGAAACGCTGTTGAATTCCCCATTTTTTGCTGGTAAAATCTCCCTCAAATGCCCATTAGTTGTTACTTCCCTATTGACAAGTCCTTCAGTTCGTCCAAGTTGATGTCGATGACAGCCTCGGAAGTCATGGGTCCCAAACTTGCGGCACCGATTTGGGCTGCAGTTTCAAGTTGTTTGATAGGTAAAATGATGATAAACAATCCATTTGGATCCATTTGGGAGTTTTTGAAAAAAAAAAAAAACATCCAATGTTCCCTAGTTTAGTTGCGGACACCACAGAGGACTCACATCAGGTGGGGCGACCGATTCAGCCGAAGCTAGGTGGATACAGCTGAAAAGCAGGTTACTAATGTGACACTTTGGGGTAGATCATTTTCCATGACAGCCAAATCTGGTACTGGAACGATTTCGCCGTTGTTTCAATGGCCACCTGGGCCGCTGACCGCATACTCGGCCTCCTTGTCTGCCTCAGGGAAGGTTTGGTTGATATGTAGACATTGGTGATTACCACAATGGATTGGACCAATCAACACTTTAAGTTTTCGGTAGTCGCATAAATACTCGTGCTTTCAATGGAAACAAAAAAAACTCTATTTCAGTGGTTATGGTTTGTCCATAGCTCACCAGCATCATCCATCAAAAGTCAGGGGCTGAAAAGTATGCTAGCATACTCTCAATCATCTTCAGTGCTTACAGACCCAAAATACATGAACCATCAAAAATCTGTATACATAGATATATATATATATACACAAACAGATAGATGCACAAATAGATAGATAGAGAAATAGATGGACGGACGGACCGATAGATGGATGGATGAAATTATCTATGCTGTCTATATTATCTATGCAACGTATATTGATATATTGAGTTATATATATATCATAATATATCATATACATATATACATGATATATTTTTTACATCCAACAGTTCCTCTCCAGCCCCCATCCTCCCCTCCTCCCCTGTCCCCTCCTTTCGGTTTCCGGCCTCCATGAGCTCTGGAGCCTCCAACCAGGCCTCCATCTTCTTCACACGCCGGGCCAAGGTGCGAGGGTCGCTGTAACCCTGGGAGATCATCCACTTCAGCAGCCTGATTTCGGATGGTGGTCTGTGATTTTACCCTCTGGTAATGACTAACATAGCTATTGAAAATGACCATAGAAATAGTGGATTTTCCCATTAAAAATGGTGGTAAACATACAAAAAACTCTGGAAAGATCCACCATTTTGTAGCTGGGAAAATCCACTATTTCTATGGTCATTTTCAATAGCTATGTAAAATTACCAGAGGGTACCCGCCAAGAAGTGGAAGCCAAAAGAAAGATGAGGGAAATTGGAAAGGTTCGAAGATGAAAATCCCCAAAAAAGGTGAAATTTCGGATGGCACGAGCGAAAAATGAGGGAATGTTCAATCACCCTAATGACAAAATGGCAAAACGATACAGTCCTTATCATCCCATTGCAGTACAACTGCTAAGGGCGCACCACTGCATGCCGGAACAGTGTTGGCACGGGAATTGTTACCACATGCAAAGAAGCGACGTGATGTTGGACTTCAGGTACTCAACCACAGGCTCCTGAAAAGCTCGACTAGTTTGTTGATAGAGATGGATTCGCATCGTGGATTGCAATAGGGTAATCCCGATTTGACCAGTCAGTATGATATTGTGCAACCGTCAATCAACACGGGCTCAAGTGCTGTGTTTGACTCTTGCGCGTATAGTCTAGGAAACTGGATGCTGCTAAACTGTGTGCTGAAACACCAACCGAGATTCGTCATGATCCAGTGAAATGATTGAAATAAAAAAACTATACATACGGTATGTACATGTGTATACACAATATGTATGTGTATATATACCTATCCATAGACCCATACACTTACATACATTTGCATGTGTATACATATATATATATACACATGTGTGTGTGTGCCGAGGCATGCGCTTCTTTTCTGACCACGCCAGAGTTGTCACTGTGATGCTTACCACATCTTTTTGTTGGCTGTTTGGGACACATGCAAACTGACATATCATAAGATCATATGCGTACACACCTACAGTAGAATACATGTATGTGTACATATATAATATCTCCATCCCGATTGTACCACCATTGTTCTTGCTCAAGTCATCATTTTAAACCCTGAAACCTCCCATTTTCGATGGCCAAATCTCATTCGTCCCACTTGACCTCATTATATCCCATGTTTGTTGGATTTGTTGCTTAAATCCCCCATTTTTGATGGTTACAGTACATCCCCATGTTGGTGAAATGGCCATCCGCAGATATGGCCCACTCATGAATCTTCAGATGAGCATTGTTCAAAACCCTCTGTCGTACCTTCATACTGGTTGTCTAGTAGGATTTCCCATAGTGAAAAAAAACAATATATTGGATAGGATAACTCCAATATGATCATCAACCAACTATCATTTATCAATAATATCAATATGTTGATGCTTACAAATCAATAGGAAATGAACCGGGACTATTTTGAACAGTATTAAAGGACTATAATGAACAGTATTGGATCAATATCAAAGGAACAGTATTAAATGACTAATGTGGGCAACCTAATGATAAACCTACCATTTGGGGATGGTAAACATACCATAAAAATACTGACTTGGGGATGGTTTTATGAAATTGGGTTTACCACATTAATTACAATTATCATACATTCATCCATCAGTGGTGGTTATACCTACACTATTAATTATGATTGATTGTTAACGATAGATTCTCCATCATATAAATTATACATTATAGATTATATTATCAATTATTACTCTATATATAATATACAATGATTAATACTATATTACATCAATTTTTACTATATTACTATATAATATACTATATATTATAATTATCATAATCAATCATCACACTCCGCTGATGTCGCGATGGTTCCTTGTTCAACTTGATGGTGCATCCCGCAGCGGAACGTTCAGCGGAGGCATCGGAGAGCTCGAAGGCTTGTTCGCACTTCCTACGATGGACACCATGGGATGATGCTGAAGAGCTTCCCATCGAAAAATGAGGAGTTAACTTCGGAGCTTTAACCATGGGAAATGGTGATTTAGCCCTCAAAAATGGTGATTTAACATGATTTAACATGATTTAACCATGATAAATAGTGATTTAACCATGAAAAGTAGTGATTTAACTCGAAACATTGGGAGATGTGGGGTTTATTGTTCATACTGGGGATGTAATGAGGATATCATCTGGTTTCTAATATATGGCGATAAGATTATGGAAAAACTACTACTTATTAAGATTTTGTATGGATACTATTCTGCACATGGTTATATACCAATGTTCTAAGGCTATGGTAACCCCAAAGAGATTCAGAAAAGGTTCAATTTATCACGATTTTAGAACGGGATTTTACCATGTTCTATCGTAAGGCTACCGGTACTAAGATATGGAAGATTACCAGACCAGATATGATATATGGCCCATCCGTTGGTAAATATGGGTGAATATTCCATATAACATGGCCACATATTCCAGCAACATCTCCTTAAACACTACATAAAATGGCATAAATATAGCATTGACATATGGCCATATTGTTCCATTAGTAATCATTCTATATATGGCGATTTTAGTTCCATATGCCAGTCTGGAATGTGAATAGCAAGCCATAGTTCCATAAATACTGGCCATATATATATATATACATATAAGATTATTTTGGGATATTCTGGATTATCAATGTGATTGTTCCAACCAATACATTACCATATGGAATCTTAATTGTCCGGAGTCTATTTTGATACAACATAACCATATTTATGGTCCAGATTTTGCGGTTGGCCAAATGATCACAATTGTGTAGCACAACAAAAGTGGTGCAACCAACTAGAAAAAATGGGATGTCAACAAACAAAAATGGGAATGTTTACCCCACAAGAATGGGAGTTGATAAGCAACAAAAATTGGGGTTAACCATGAAAACCCAAGATAGAAGCATGGAAAATCAGGAGAATCGCGTGGGTCAGAACAAAAAATCTAATGCCATCTTATATAACCTCCAAACCAAGAAACCCAGGTTACTTAATGGTTATCATCATTGGCTCGAGCACTTTTCCATGTTTTTTCCAAGTGACAGGTCTGGAAGACCCTCGATCTCCAAAATACGTCCATTGAAGATATTCTTCTTGCCCTTCTTCTCCACTGTGAGGAGACCCTGACAGCTGTCTGATCGTCAGCTGAGCTCAGGAACCGGCTTTGGGACGGGAAAATGTCCCGAAGATCGGACGGGGATTTTGAAGATCTGCATCTGTTGGAGATGACCCGGATCCCCAATAGTTGGGTGATCTCAAGAATTGGGACGTTTATTAACTTTGTTGGAAGTGGATGTTCCTTCTTCATATAGCCAATATGTCATATGTAAAATCACCAGCTTCAATACGTAGGTAAATCATCACAAGTCAACTATCAATGGGCCATTGTCCATAGCTATGTTAAATAACCAGAGGCTAATTTGTCCTGCTCGGGATGTTTAACTGCCAGGCCCCGCCTGTTGGATGGCATAGTATGGGATAGCATGCACCAAGTCGCGCAATGTCACGCCAGGCTGCATCTTGCCTACACCAGGCGAGTGACAGCAGCAAGTCAGCCAGGCTGTCCTTTTTCGCACCACAAATCGCTATGTTATGTTGAAACAAAGTGTGGTACCCTCCAGTAAACTAACATAGCAGTAAACTAACATACTAAGATAGCTATGGAAAATGGCCCATTTAGTTCGATGATGAGTTTGCCAGATACCAAAAAATCATCTCTCTGTTTTCCCTCAAAAATGGTCACATTCTGTGTCCATGGCCATCATGGCCCACATCACATGGTGTTCCCGCGCTGGAACTTCCGCTCCGAGGTGCCGCTGAAGCGCACCAGCACGGACTCCGGCATGTTCAGCGGCATGACCCCGGTGGCGGCGGCGAAGGCCACCAAGCCCGACCCCGCGGGGAAGGAGATGCCCAGCGGGAAGCGGGTGTGCGAATCGCCACCTGAGCCGTGGCGTACCCTGATGCGGAAGGATGAAAAAGGTGGGTGTGGTTTTTCCCAGCAAATGGTGAAGGTGTGGTTTCACACTATGAATGACTATGAATCATGTTGAATCAAGAATCTGGTTTTTTGAAGTGTTTCAGGGTATTTTTGCCAACAAAAATCGGATTGACCAGTAAAGATGAGGGTTCAAGCGACAAACCTCCGCTTTTCGGCAGAACAAAAAATGGGGAGTTCATCCAAAGCCAGGTGGGTGCGGGGGGATGGTAAAGATGGGGATGGGGGATAGTTGGCACCCAAATTCCAGGAAATTCTCGTGTATCAGTCCATTTTTTCCGCTCTTGGGGGTATACAGTATACAAGCCATTCAAAACCACAGAGCCCAATGCAAAAGCAGCCTATTACAGTATACTTTTTTGTAGGTGAAATAGAAATTGTACCTTGGTAATCACGTTTGATGTCGGGGATTTCCCATTGCCACGTTTGATTATACCAGAGGGTAGCCCAAAGAAATCACAGAACTGACAAAAATCCCCTGCCTGTGCCAACCTCATCAGGCAGCAGCATGCGATTCAGCCAGGAATGGATGATGCCATCGCCCGGGCGCAGGGCCACGCCGCCGCGGTCCGCGATGAACTTGGGCAGGGTGCGATGAGTGATCACCTTGGGCCCGGTCTCCCGAGAAATGGAGGCCGTTTTGCAAAGGAGGAACATGTCAAATCCCAGAAATGGATGGTTTTTGTCGGGGGTACATCAGCAATCATCATCTACAAACGAGATATGTTCATATCTTTTCCACGATGTTCCCGCGCCAGGCCAGCTTAGATCTGCACTGGTGTCACTGAGGCCTGAACATCCACTGGCTTTGGATAGGCAGCCGTGTGGCAAAAGGATTGCATGACAAGGTCTGCCTGAAAACCTGGGTCCAAGTGGCATATGGCAAAGGGACATCAGCTTGTGGCTAGATCAAAAAAGATGACGATCCACATGGACCAAGTGCATGGACAATCTGAAACTGAAAAAATCTACAGTAGTTCATGATTCATTGGTGACTTGTGTACAGTAATCTTTGCGGTTATATATATATGTATATGTATATAATATATAAAGACTCCCCATTCTGGTTGGTCGTTTTGTCGCATTTGATTGATCAAATCCAGACTCGATATCGCAACCTTGGCTTTATGGTGAAATCCCATGGACCGAAGCCCCACGAAAAACGTCCCTTTTTTGTGCTGGGGCCGAAGCTACTGTGGGATCTCCCAGTTTCAATCAAAAACTTCCCAGAAATCCCACAGTAAATCACCATGAAATATTGGCTCAGCCAGAACCCATGAAATATACCCCCATGAAATTACCAATCACCGTCAAATCCCATTATTTGGTTATAATCCCGTCCCCCTAATATTGAACGAACACCCCCAACGAAACCATGGTTGAGTAGGGAAATTCCACATACTTGGGACCAGCCGCAGGAGCTGTTTAATAAGAGGGGGATTGGATTAAACCCATCATTTCCCTAAACTCACGAAATATACCCCAATCAATCCCCATTGTTCATCACCATGAAATCCCATAAATTATGGTTCTAAACCCATCATTAATACCATTAATCACCATCATGAATCCCATTTTATGATTCTAAATCACCATTAAATCACCATTAAATCACCATTGAATCACCATTAAATCACCATTAAATCACCATTAAATCACCATTAAATCACCATTAAATCACCATTAAATCACCATTAAATCACCATCAATCCCATCATCATTTCTCCAAGGAACCAAGGCAAGCCAAGTCCTTCAGCTCGTCGCGGGTCATTGGTCCAGTGGTATCCTGGGAGCCCACGGTGCCCATGCGCGGCTCGCAGTAGGCGCCCGGCACCACGCCGTCCACACCGCAGGCCTCGGCAAAAATCCACGGGATCCAGGATATGATTAATACATATATATATACTTATATACTTATTCATTTATTTATTTATTCATTTATTTATTTATATATTTATTCATCTATTTATTTAGTTATTCATTTATTTATTCATTAATGTATTTATTTATATATTTATTCATTTATTTATTTAGTTATTCATTTATTTATTTATTCATTTATTTATTTATATATTTATTTATTTATTTAATTTATTTATATATATATATATATTACAGTATGTTATTTATATATCCCGTGTTCGGAAAAATGCCCAGCTTCATGGCACATGAATCCTAACCCATCGCTTTAAGTTCCACGCCTCAGTGTTGAAATCCCTCACTTTTTGGCTTCTATTATGTATGTATTAATGCTATTTTAAGCCCCTAAAGTTACGGCAAAACTTTGAGGTTTGCCCGGACTCGCAAGGAGCGTCCGGGCAAGCCAAAATGATGACGATGACGATGACGATGATAATGATTTTGATATATTCTTGAAACATCTTGAAACCCTATAAGAAACCCTAATGAGTGTATGGTTGATTGTTCCATGGGGCCGGGGGATTTTGATATCTTCATGAAACCCAAAGAGAAACCCTAATGAGTGTGTAGTTAATTCCATATGATATGTAGAAGCAACATGTTCTGGTTAACACCCTAGCAACATAATTGAACATCAAATCCTTCCTGTTGTTTGACATCGTACAGAATTCCCTAGTATTTACGCTAGTCTGGGCTTGGGCAAACCTGGGGGTCTGTAAAATTAGAGGTCTTACTCCTAATTCATGAGGATTTTCTCATCATCCCCAGCCATTTTTGGGGCTTCAACCATCCAACCATCCAACCTTTCCCGGCCTTTCCGACCATCTTCTGCGCCAGCGAAAAGCCCTTGACGTTCACCTCTGGCTGCGCCATCTGTTTGAAGGTGGTCGTTGGGCCCAAGGACATCGCTTCACGGGCGCGGTTCGTCAGCCCACGGCCGATGATCAGCGGGATGCGTCCGCCAGCGCGGACCTGGACGGTGGATTGATGGGAAAACCTGGGAAAATGTGGGAAATCTTCATGTGGATACCATGGGATTGTGCAGATCACCAACTTGATGGCCCTCCTTTCCTCCGGAACAGAAGCTATAAAAACCTGTTTCAATCTTGGACATGGCTCAAACGGATGTTGTAGTCACATGTGGGTTCTGAAAATAGGATAAATAGGGTACCCGGGTACCTCCAAGATGGATTGTCATCCAAATTGTCCATATTAAAATGGCTATGGGCCATGGGTCTCCCATGGTCTCTCCGATTTTCAGATCCCAGGTCATCGCCTGATCCAGCATCAGTTCATGCTTCAAGCCGAAGTTCACCAGGACATCGCTGGTGCCGTGCTTCTTCACCACTTGTTCGTAGACGCAAAGGTCAATCAAATCCCCCATGGCCAAGTCCTTCACGTCCATCTCAAGTGGCAAAGCGCCGGAATCCTCCATGGTATTGAAAAAGATCGGAGCAATGGTGCTTCCAATCACAAAGCCCCCTGTGCGCTTGTTTGGGGCGCAAGGAATGTCCTGACCTCAGGCGATCTCATGGAAGTTGATCCAACTGCAACTTTGCAACGTGGGAATGGGTTGAGTTAAGTCCTTAGACACCCCAAAATCACGCAAACAAACATCCAACTTTGCTCCGTTCAACATTTTTGGGGATGGCCACTGCCATTCACTACCAGGTATTTTATTGTTAAAATACCCAACAATATTTCAAACAACAAAAACAAAAAAAATGGTTAGCAGCTCTGGGTCCCTGGGTTCCCTGGGTCCCAGGCCCATGTACCACAGAATGGAATTGGTTGCTGACTTTCGTGATGAGCCCGTGCCAACCACGTCGCCAACATAGGCCAGGGGATGACCCTTCCTGCGACGAGTTGACAGGTCAGATTCCCTGGATTTGTTTAAAGTTACCCCAAAAAAGATAGAAAAGGAGTGAAGAGATTTGATCTATATACTATAGTAGGATGTTAAATTTAAAGTGTTCTATCTTTCTGGAGATTGGGCGATGGCGATTGAACAATAAAGCATGATTTTTACCATCAGGTGTAAGGGGTTTGTGTGAATTATCCCTTGAACAAATTCTGGGAAACAGCTTCTCTGCGCTTTCTATGTATTTGCGAGTGAAAACAAAACACGCTGGCCAACTGGATGCAGCGAAAGAAAATTAATCAAAAAAAAAACTCCAAATAGCCACAATTTCAGCGATTTAAAATATTCCGCCATCCAATGTCGGAACAAAACGGAACAAATAGATCTGAAACATGCCGCATATATAGATTTGAAACATGCCGCATGCTCGCAAATCTTGGACTTCTTCGATGTTGTTGTTTCGGTATTGTTTGGGTATTGAAAACATGTCTTTCTTCCCATCAAAAAATGTCGCCCCAAGCAAATAATTGGCCACTATCATTGCAGTTTTTTTACGCTGGTATCATCATTTCCCAATATGGGTATATAATCACTTCCCCCGGTGAGTGTTGGATCTAATCGTTTTGGAGGCCCTTTAAAATGGGGGAATCAATAGTATTAATATTACGATGTGATGATTCCAACCATTGACCATGGCACATATCACATATACGTCATCATATGTCATCATATGTCACATCTCTCCAGAACGCCCCAGACTCTCCAAGGCACTTCTTCAGATCGGCAATCTGGTTTGGAGCGTCGGTGATGCCATCGCGTGGGAACTTCCTGGGCCACAGGAATCGGCCAAACGTTGGTTTTGCCTGGAGCAAAACCCTGATTCGTAAGATGTATGCTTTCATGCGTTTGGGATAATTCTGGTACCATAGACGGAATTGGATTACTCCCATTTACTTCGATGATTTCCCTTTTTAAAAAATTGTCATTGTCCATAGCAGATTGTCAGTCATTACCAGAGGGTACAACATTATTTTTAACCACATACGCTTCCAGGGATGAACATTCCCCATGACGCAACCCTTTTTAAGAAATGGTCGTCCCCGGTTTGGAATATGTGGACATTGATGTACAAATGGGGAATTTCTTAAAATGGGGATCCCCAAAATCTTGGATTTCAATAGTAAAATGGTCTGATGACATGGATGGTTTGGGGTACCCTCCAAATGTTGTGCAGACTTCGGCCAAACTTAGTAGCAGGTGCTCACCATTTGGCAGGGAACAATGTTGAACACGTTTGTCGAGCCAATCCAATGACTTGACCCAAAAGTCGAGACCGTGCAATGAAAATCTTGGATGACCGGACCTCATGGTTAATAATGGTTAATAATGGTTAATAATGGTTAACAATGGTTAATAATGGTCAATAATGGTCAATAGTTCCCTTTTCTTGTCTTTTCTTCCCTTTCCAGTTCTTCCCTCCAGTTCTTCCCTCCAGTTCTCAGTTCACTCAGTTCAAGCTTCAGCATGGCCAGAGCATGCAACGGAATATCCGGACGAGACCAGGCATCTGGAGCTGGAGACAGGTCATCGGTGTTCGTCTCGCCGGTCACTTTGAAGACACACAAAGTCACCTGCCGACGGCCGACGTGAAAAGCTGATGCAGCTGGTTGCAGCAGGTCAGCTTGAACCCGTGACCAACCATGGCCTGATGTAGACTGGGGCCGGGAATCCCAAGATTCGAAAACCATGAAGAGGATTAGTTATGGGTAGCACAGTTCCAAACCACTACCACCAATCCAAACAACCGGGTAGCCATTGGTTAAGGTTAAATGGTCTAAGCAAAAGAATAACTTTGGATCTAGCGTATCAATGATGAGGACAGAAGGACACTGAGGAGCACAACTGAGGCACCCCTTTGTTGACTTTTTCAAGACGTGGGTGTGTCCGAAAATTCAGGGAAAAAACCCAAAATCCTACAACTATCCATCATCTTTTCCTGTTGAGATTTATGAAACTTGCCACTTGGGTGAATACAACATTTTCAGACACACCCATGTGTTTTGAACTCCATTTTTAAAAGAACAAAACAGTTCAGGACACCATCAAAGATCTAATCATGATTCAGGTGCCGTTCAAGTCATTGAAAACTCTTTTCTGATCTTCCTCGGCTTTACGAATTTTGACTCATAACCACATTGTTGGTTGCTTGTATTACCCTCACTTTTGCTGCGAAAATGTTGAATCTGTGTTTTTATTGTTTTTTCGGATTCAAAGCTCATCTTTATCCTGCGACAATGTCGAATCTTTGTTTTTATTGTCTTTGTTGTTGTTATTGTTTCGCGGATCAAAAGCTCATCTCTACTTATCTCAATAAAACAACCCCATGTTTTGATGATCCGTTTCAAATCCCCACTGATTGCGAGATCCACTGATGTTGGGCCGGTGTGAAGTCGGTTTAAACATCTTTGTGTCAAAAAGTGTTGCCGGTTTCAGTCCCACTGAATACTAAATGGCCAGGATTTTGGGGAAACACATTTGTTGATTTTGGAAGCTGGGCATGATGTATGAAAGGCCTCGCTTATTCCAACCCCTACGTGTTTTAACCTTAGACTTGAAAAGATCTTGCCAATTCAACCATGTCCCGCCACTTTTCAATTCCCCAAAACTCACAAAAACAAAAACAAATCATAAGCAAAATAAGCAAAAGAAAGAAGATCCAACATATCCCCAAGCGTTTGAACTCCCAGTGGCGAGTTCCCCATGGTTCCCAGTGGTTCCCTGACTCCGGAGCCGCACCTTCTCGGGCACCTCAGGGCGGTTGGTGAACCACTCTGCGTTTGCCCAGGACTCCATGACCTGGAGAAAAGGGTGGATTTCATGGTCCGAAAAGCCATGATTTCATGGGAAAAACATGGGAAAAACATGGGAAAAACATGGGAATCTACTGGGGACATAATGGGAGTAGAATGGGAATGAGCCAAAATGAGTCAAACCAAAATGGTGCACAGTTGGAAACCAGGAAAAAAATGACACCATCGAAATCATCTTTCGAACCCTTCCTTTGCCATTCAACCCCGGGCGCGTGAAATTCCTTGGATGGTTCTGCTGCAGCAAAGTGTCTGGCTATCTACGACAAGAGTGACAAAAAATGTCTGGATGGCATCCTAGTTTCAGATAAACCCATGTTTTCTGGGGCAAGTACACAAAAATGAAGATAGTTAGATGAATTTACGTGATGGTTTTAGATGGTTGAACCTAATTTTTATAAATATTTTACCCACAGTCAATCCGAACAGCTCCCACGTTGCGACGGGTCCCATGATCAATGTCAGATGAATTCTGTTAATCATTGTCCCAACCGTATAAGAAATGGAAATCTATATATGGTTCAAGATGGTCAATATCAACAACAATTGAGGCACATGATAGCAAATGATCCTATGTCCATAGATTACAATATGTTACTTTGTCTCCTTAAACAGTTTCACACATTTATCTATATATTGTATTGATCTATTGCAACTGTTTGGTTCATATTCCCAAACCATCTGCCTTTGGGTACAACATATGCTACACTTCACTGGCAGTTGGAGAACCTTCCCCAAATGGCTGGTGATGTCTGGAAACATCGAGAAATGACCGTGTTCAGTCATAAAGACTCAAACATGAGTAGGTCAGAAGATCCAGCCACAACTGCTCATTCATGGTTACTTGGGCAGATAAAGACGGAGTGCAGTGAAGTCTTGACATCGCGCCTTCTTGGCATAAGGATTGCCCTTCTTCATCTTCTCTTCCACGTCGTAGAAAGCATCGAACATCAAGATCCTCAAAACCCAGACATCCAAATTGCCATTGTCAATTCCAAGAAATTACACAAAAAAAAAAACGGAATTGGAGTGAATTGGATACATTCATGATCCTCCAATTTTTCAAATTTGCAACTCAGCGGCATTCGGTTGAGACCCACCGAGGCCGCCTCAGCAATTTCCTGGTGGGCTGGAGATTAGTCAACCACCCAACAAGAAATGGTGGTTGAATGGTTAGATGGTTGTTTTATCGGATTTTGCTGGACTTTACCACCAAATACCAGCAAAGGGGGGGTTTTGATGGGATTTGAATGGTGATTTCAGGGGGATATCATGGAAGTATCATGGGATCTCGTATCTTAGTAAAGCAAGAGGATCCACCATCCCCAGCACCATCAATGGATGGGATTCCAACTGTCAATCCATATGATAATAGATAATATATAAATATGTATATGATATGATATACATAATATAATATAATTAATAAGTAACTCGGGTACAACATGGTTTGCATGCGACTTACTATGCCTGCGATGTACCCCCCAATAGCTGGGAAAACATAACACGGATATTGGTGCGGGGATTCAGCCGCTGGCTGAAATTGGAAAGGTGATGTAAAATGTTGGGAATCCCACTCTTTAATGGGATGAGTACTTGTAGAACATCATGCTACTTATCGTTCTTGAATAGATGTTTTTTTTGTCTTATATTGTTTTTCTTTGATTTCGCAGTGACTCGAAAGAGTTTACGCTTGGTTCTGGCATGATCTGCGGTGTTTCTGAGAATTGAAGTGATCTTTTGCAAAGCAATGTCATAATCATATTATATATTATATATTATATATTATATATTATAGATTATATATTATATATTATACATTATATGTTATATGTTATATATTATATATTATATGTTATATACTATTTATGATATATTGTAGATCATAAATCATACATGGTATATGATATATGGTACATGATATGTGACATATTATATATTATATATTATATATTGTATATTGTATATCGTATATTATATATAGTTTATATTATGTTATATTATACTATATTGTGTATATATATATATGTAGGCCATACACCACTTACTATCCGGTCTGGCTATGCAGCTGTCCTGATCCAGCTCCAACGCCTCCACCAAGGGAGCCACGTTGTAACCGCCCTGCATCCATCCCAGCATCTCCACCTCAGCGGCGGAAAAATCCACCGGTATTTGGATGATTGACCTCTGGAATATGGCTGGAATATGGCTGGAATCTGGCTGGAATATGGCTGGAATATGGTGATTTTTGGGAGTTTCCGGCGGAAACTGGCTGGAAAACAAAAAGCAAAACTGGAAGTGAAAATGATGCTCTTCTTTTACTACATGAAATGAAAGTGAATATGTCAGGTACCAACCGCAAAACCAACAAGGACATGGGTTTGACGACTCAACTGGATTTTGATTTTTAGATACCTCAACTGGGTATGGGTCAAAACCCTGGTAGCCTAATGAACCCAATATAGATGGTAAATATTGGTAATTCGATGTTCATCCACAAAATATTTGGACAAAAGGTTCTGACCCATACCCAACTGGAGATACTGAAGGTACCTTCCATGTGTAATGTGGAAGCTCTATGTTGCGTAGCTCTGTTTTGGGTTCCTAAATAAGTCGGTGAATCCCATGGCAGGCACCAAGAAATGGATGATAGCCACCTGGTGATGACGTTTTGGCCCTAGTTTTGGTATACATTAAGCATGTGGGGGAGGATGTGCTGTCGTATTATTGGAGGTTCCCAGAAAAGAAAGAAAAAATATCTCCATCAAAATAGTAGGAACATTCCTTCATCGTTTCGGGGACCCTGTTGTTTCAATCCATAAAATTGTGGGGGGGTTCATGAAACGCTGCCGCTGGGCCTAGGCTGCAGGTGTCCCTCCCTTAACCAGCTGCAGGTACCAATCAACCGAGGTCAACCCAGGAAATCAACCATCGGGTTGACGAGGGGGATACAATGGTATAACCCCGGTTGTATGCTGGATATACAATATTAAACCCAGGATATAACCAGGATATACAATTTGGGGCTTAGTATTGTATATCCTGGGTATATCCTGGCTATCTATATCTATATCTATATATATAAATCAACCATTATCCCAGGTATATCCTGGTTATATCCTGTATATCCTCGTTGGGATGATGTAAAACGATCCACAAATATTGGGGGATCACCTTTGCAGAGGCAACTCCCGGAGCTCAGGCTGATGACTGCATCAACCTTGGAGATGAGCGGAGTGGAAACTTTGCCGTGCATGATATCACCTCGGCAGAAAAAGCGAAAAACTGTATCCACAGTGACATCGTGGCTCGGAAACTTGTGGGTGGTGTTGTGGATGACGATTTTTCCAGAATCAGGATGATCTTTCTCATATATATATATATTATATATAATATATATATATAATATAATATATATATTATATATAATATATATATATAATATAATATATATATAATTGGGTAGGCCCCAAATCAACCATCATCCGCCACGTGAGGAGCATGTCAATGACGGCTCCATCAGGGTGGACCCAGAATTGCATCTGAAATTGCCCTCGCGTCGCAGCACAAAATGGATGTTTCCTAAAATGGGGTATCTCCACATCATCCAAGTCATTAGACCATGACTTAGTATTGAAACCCTTGGTTTTGGGGATCCCCCATATTAAGAATCACCCAAACACCACTGCAACAAAAACAGTTGGCGAAAGAGCAGTGAGTCCGGCACGCAAAAAGTTGGCCTTCACGTAGCTAGAGTCGTCGACCTCGGTACCGAAATCATGGGGATGATCCATGAATTCACTCTAAAAGACTATAATCGAATATCAAGATACATCTATTAAGATCTATCTATCTAGCTAGCTATCTATCATTATCTATCTATCTTATCCTATCTAACCTTACCTAACCTTACCTAATCTTCTCTAATCTTATCTATCTATGTACCTTATATTTATACCACCCTAAGTCCCTACAACGTCAAGTTGTAAGTTCTCAAAAAGAGTCCAATACTTCCAAAAAACACATGTCGTTTGCTGACTTCAGTGTCTCAGGCATCCAGAAGCACTAAGGTCTCCACACCCGGGTTCACCCTGTTGCGGAGAAGATCCACATAGAAGGAGCCGTCAGCGGGTGCCTTCTTCAGCATTTCCACCACGCTCTCTGCCTGTCCCGGACTGCTGTGCCCTCGATTTAACATGGCAATGGAAAATCCATGTTTTGTTGGAAAATTCTGGGATAATGATCTATGAATGGGTCATTTTCCATGGTGTGAAATCCCTGGAGGTAAGGTTGAAGACAGAATCGGACACAGCACAGTTAAATTCATTCGCTCTACCCAACAATCCATGATCACATGTTTTGTGGAACTATCATTCAAAAACACATTCAAATTTCATCATCTTCAAGAAAATAAAATCCTCAGAACTCTGGCGGAAGGTGTTCCCAGCTCAGCTAATATTTGGCCAAAATACTGGTACCCTGGTGAACATCAAAATATGGTGCCTACAGGCACCTTTGACCATCATCCCCGTATAGCCTTGAGTCCCCACCAAAGAAACAAAGGTGGTGAAATATGAAATAACCATCGTTAAACCCCAATGAAACCCCGTCCAACCACTATTTTTGATGTTACAATCACCCCAACAACCACTGCCATCTGAGCAATATTCAAAACCCGAAATGTCATTCCATGATACTGGCCGCGTCATCGAATTTCCAACAAAAAAATGATCATCCCAAATATATCAAGGGTAGTATTATCCATAGTTATCCCCGTTCAGATTAGGGGGGAGGGGTCGCACCCGGCTTCTTCTAAGCATAAACCAGTGGGATTTTGAAAAACCTTATAGAAAGAATCGGTTTTTGGCAATTTTGGCCCTTACAAAAAGCAGAGGTTTTTAGCAGCCACATTCGACTTTAAAATCCTGTATCATTTTGTAAGGTAACAACTTCCTTCATGATGTGAATGTTGTATCCCACTCGATGACCTTTTTATAAGAAGTTGTGATTTCAGATAGCGTTTTCGGGCATCATGTTGTAAGGCAACAACTTCTGGTTCCCTGTTTCTGTTTTTCCCGGACTCGTTGATTTTCAAGCAGCCTTTTTGTAAGGATTCCTTTTCTTTGCCACCTTTTATGTTGGTTTATAGTTTTGTATGTTTGCTTCTTTGGCCTCATTGCCTACCAGAACTCCTCTCATGATGTCTCTTTGCCTACAAATCTGAATAATAATTATAATAGTTTGTATCAATGCCTAAAAAGTATATATTCATACAAAATGGTTCTTCTATTCTTGACGACATCTCCTTACAAAATGTATTGCACACCCTGCTGCGTTTTTTTTTGTTTTTTGTTTATGTTCAATAACAGCATCTTGAGCTTACAAAAAGCCTCAAAACAACAAACTCGATGGTTTTATGAAATGAGTTGGCCCCTCAAAACTCTTACAAAATTAACACTTCAAAATGTACAACTTTGCCTTTTAGGTGCCCTGTTACAAAATGCCCTGGTTAGGGGGCTCCTTGTAACTACAAAATGCCTATATATAAACCATTTATAAGAGGGTCGACCCCTTCCAAAATATAAGGGAAATTTGGACGAGGGTCCATAGTTGGTTTTTGGGCTTTAACCAATTATGATAATCCCAATGATAATCTATATGATAATCCATAATCTATATGATAATCCCAATTATGATAATCCATAGTTAACAACATATCATCAGACAACAGATGGGTTTCTAAAGGCGGCCCCGTCCTGGCTCGAATCCAGTGCCAGAGGTGGGATCCCTTGCTGTGCACGCTCGGCCACATGCGCTTCATATGCCGCTTTGAACGCCTGAGAAGTCATAGAGTCGTGGTGAAGTTGGTCGATGATAATTGGATTGATGTGCATGTTGCCATAAGAATGCATCAATTATATGATGTAGATAAAATTAGAATCATGAATGATAAATGGATTTCAAATTCAGATTATATATATATATATAGATCAATATGATAATTGAATGATAAGAATGAACTCATATTAATTAGCTGTAAGTACGACAATCGGAATATTATGATGATATAATGTTTAATATACATATATGGATGAATCAGTCATAGTTATATGCTCATTATGGTGTTTATATTTTTCATATTAGGATCAAAATATACATATACATATACCTATACCTATACATATACATATACATATACATATACATATACAAAAACACATACATATACATATACATATACATTGTATGGTTCATACTGAATACCCCACTGAGGCACCACAAAACCACGAGAAATATGGGCAACTGATCGTCAAATTCATCAAATTTTGAGGGTCGATTTCCACCCACAAAATGATAAATCAAGTGAAATTCCAAATAAATAATGATTAAGGCAAAATAAATGAACAGGCAAAATAAATGCCAAATTTCCATCCAGTTGTTTTCCTTCAGCTTGGAAGCAATTTCCGTCACTTTCACCATCCAACGTATAGTAACACCAAAAAAATGGCAAAGTATTTCCAGGATGGTAGTTCGATAATGTTCCATAAGTTCTAGTTTTTTTCTAGGTGTCCGCAACTTTTCTGCATCTTTTTCGTGGTTGCTACAGATATCACGCACTCCTCATGGCACCTCTGGTTGCATCGCTGAAAAAGCTCGGACCTGAGCACTGGAAATAGAATGACACCCAAAGTTCCTTCAAAAACGGTGCTGGGAAACACTAAATTGGATGGTTGATTGGATGGTTGATTGTCTTGATTCAGATGCTTTGTGAATCTAAATCCCGAGCTAAGAAAAACAAACACAGCTTGGGGAAACATCACAATTTTGGGACAAAAATTGTGTTGAAGAATAGAACCCTTCGACATCGGCAAATCTGAGCTCCGTGCATGCTGAAGTGTGCGTCGAGAGACCGCCTGCCAAAAAGTTTGGTCAAAATTGGCCAAATAATGAATTTGATGATAAAATATGATAAATATGTCCGTGTGTATATACATCCATATACAATACTATTTAAATATCTAGTTATATACATTAAATGTTTTGTTTCAAAGGTTGGAAAACCCCAAAACATTTGGAGACTTCCTCCCCACCTTGAGCACGGGCAAACGGCGTACAGCACGCATCATGGCCTCGGGGACGGTTGGAATCCGCAAAGATAATGGAAACGGTGATCAAATGGAACCATCACAAGTACTTCCAAGAAAAAAAGGTGATTAACCATCACTATGGTGTTTAACCATCACTATGATATTGGTGATATAATGAGATTAATAATTGATAAGAGTGATAACCATCAATTTCTTAACAGGTGATGAATAATCAGATGGTGATATGATGAGATCATCACAAGTCAGTGACCCCCCGGATAAAAAGGGTTTCTTAAGAGGTGATTAACCATCAATAGTCACTAATATGGGTCCAATGGGCTAGCTGAATCCCGATTAAAGCATCTTTGCCAAAAATCCGACCATCTGCATCATTTTCAACGAGCAAACAAAAACGCAAAATATCGGTTGAATCCGAGTTTTATTCACTTTGAACGCAACAACCAACGCAGTTTCAATTATCGTTGTGGAAAGACTCAAGGGTCCATAGAAATCCATGGGGCTGTTCATGAGCCCTTGAACCCACCATCCTTCCGGCTGAGGCATCCACTCACTCACGGGGAAAAGGGAAACGATCTGTGAGTGGAGGCACCGTTTTTTTGTTTCTGTGAACCAAACAAAACAGCAGCGGGACCAAAGTTTTGCCTGATGTTTGTCTGTCAATGCATTGATTCACCTGAACATTTCCCAGAAAAAAACAACATCAATTTTCGTTTTTATTCCGCGAAACCAAGTTTGAAGTGCACAGACAGACAGACAGACAGACAGACATACATACATACATATGTAATTATATATATATTTCTCACTATATCCCCATTATATCCCAACTGGTTTCGTCCAGGCGGGAGAGAAGTCGACAGGCGGGATTCGTGCTGATTTTTTTTCAAAAAGATGGGGATTGAACCATCAAAAACGGGGATTGAACCAGCAGAAATGGTGGGAAAAATGCTGGGAGATTCTTAGGGATACCCTCTGGTAAACTAACATAGCTATTGAAAATTGCCATTTATTATAGTGGATTTTCCCATTAAAAATGGTGATTTTCTATAGTTATGTTGGGAAATTCTTAGGGACAGAACGTCTCTGAAGAAATTGATGTGGCAAACCCGGCATAAACCTCCAATCGGCGATACTGTTTTCTTTACTGACCTATTTCTGGTTGAGTGGCAGATCTCACCTGCAATTTTCAACAGCTTCAGGAAACAATACGATTCCATGGCCAGGTTTTTCAAACCTAATCCGACAAGAAAAATATCCCAACATAGTCCCATCCCCCTATATCAAACACCCCCGGCATGGTTATGTACAATTCCACTACAACTATAGTTTCTGAGGGGTGTTTAATGTGAAGGGGGGAAGGGATTAGTTACATCATGCATCAGACACCCATCATCATGCAGATTCAGAGTTCTGCTTCAGGTCTGGTGAAATTATTAATTCCATCCATCTTCACCATCAAATATGGTCATTTGGTACAAGGTGGTGCCCCATAGTTAGCTAAGTTGGTTTATAACTCCCATAACTATGGTTTATGGTAGATATAACTATAGTTAATGGGGTTTATAAACCAACTTACAACTGGGGGGCACCATCCTGTAAGGGTATCATGGGGCCAAATCCCACCATTTTCAGACAGAGCTCAGCGGATTCAAAGACCGCCATGCCGCTTTCGATGCGACATGGGCTATGCTTTCGATGTCCCGTTGGATATGCTCTGAAGGTGTGGGCCTTATGGGAAAATCTAGAGCCCAGCCCAATTCTACCATACTTGGTGCACGTGAGGTTATAAACAGCTATATATAACCTGGTGAACTAACATAGCAATTGAAAATGGCCATTTATAGTGGATTTTCCAATTAAAAATTGTGATTTTCCATTGCTATGTTAGTTCACCAGAGGGTGTATATAACCAGAGTTATAGGGGTGAACTATCCCAACTTATGAGCGGTTTTTCTCATAGTTATACCATGTTATACCCATGACAAAAAAATGCCAAGTCAGCTTAAGTTGAGACTGCTGATCAGCCAGCTTGAAAAAAACGCCGGATTACCTTTTAAAGTGTTACCCTCTGGTAATTTAACATAGCTATGGAAAATCACCATTATTTATGGGAAAACTCACTATTTCTATGGCCATTTTCAATAGCTATGTTAAATTACCAGAGGGTGCCTAATATCCCAAGCGCTTAAAAAAAGTGACCCAGGTCATTTTGGCCGCCGTGGTCGCCAGTCCCACCTTTGCCTGGCGCCCGGCCGTGTCGCTCGCGCCGCCGCCACAGCCGCGCCGGTGCCTTTGCCGCGCGGCGCGGCACGCGGCCTCTGCGGTGCCGGCGGCGGCACCCTCACGTGGCCGGCGAGGGTGATGCCAGGGGTCCAATTTTTGGAACTTCAGTCCCTTAGGCTCAGAAGGCTTCTAGTTTTTTTGACCTCGGAGCAGGACACCATCTGATGAGATCTGCGAGAGATATGTGGAAGAGAACGAAGAAAGACGGGGTGAAGATTGACGATCAGAAATGTAGATATCAACAACTTGGGGATGCGAAAGTATCATCTTCAACAACTTGGAGCTATCAAGACGGGGTTATCAAAAATATCAACCCATATAATTTTCAATTTTCAGGACAGGGATATGAGTTTCCATGTTAGTTTCACAGTAGGAATGAAAACCTGACTGAAACCTGACTGCCAAGTTTGCGGGGCCCGCAACCCCCAACGTCCCGAGCCAGTACCACAAACGTGTACCACTCAACAATCATGAGAGGTTGTCATCAACAATAGCCATTTGTGTGTTTGTGTGTGCCTAAAAAACAACAACACAAATACACCGATGTAAAAGTAGATGGCTCAACTCAAAAACCCAAATACCCATAAGATGGCACCGCGGGTTGAGAAAGAAAACGGCGCTATTTTAGCTGGAACATAAAACGAGGTCCGCCAATTGAAGAAAAAATCAACCTACTTTAAAATGAAAAGGTAGATGGCGCAACTGCCACTCCAGTAGATGGACATAAGGGTATTGTTAACTAAGTTTACTACATTTCCTATCATTTTTTGCTTGTATATACGGTGGAATAGCACAAATTTGTATTGTATAAAATGAGTTGCGCCATCTATGTCCCTTAAATCCCATTCAAACGCCCGAATTTTTTTTCGATGGGTTCAAAAATGAATTGCGCCATCTATGTCCCTTAAATCGCATTCAAATCTTCAAAAAATTCATTGCAATACCTTGAACATGAGTTGCGCCATCTATGTCCCTTAAATCTCATTCAAACGCCAGAAAAAAATTGGTGGGTTAAAAAATGAGTTGCGCCATCTATGTCCCTTAAATCGCATTCAATTTTTTAAAAAATTTCATTGCGATACCTTGAAAATGAACCACTGAATGTTTTAAAACTGATTGTGGGCAGAATTTATGGATAGAAATCTCATTTTTCAACATATTTTGACAAAAATATTTTTTAAAAAATGCAGTAAAAATTCATTGCAATACTTTGTGGATAGAATTTTGGATAGAAATATTTTAAAAAAAACAAATTATTCAGCACATATGCACAATTTTAACATTTCAATATGTTACAAAGCAGCTTTTCTGGTTTACAAACTATAAACGTGACATTTTTCATTTTGCATCATTTCCCCGTTGCTGTTCTCCCCGTTGTGTCTTACCCGTTGTGTCGGCGTGTCCCCGAGATCCGAGCCAGGGAAAAAGCTGCTTTTGAAGTTTTTCTACACTTTGAA